CGATCTACCCCACCCACCCTCCCTATCTACGTTGTTTGCCATCTCTGATCTCATCTTCTTCATCCATTCCGGATATTCCCTGTGGTGGCATTGGTAAGTTGCCATGTCAGCGGGCCACATCAGCAGACCACGTCAGCAGACCACATCAGCGGACCACATCAGCAGGCCACGTCAACAGGGAGTGCCACGTCAGCCACCCGGGCCTGTTTATGCTGACGCGCTCGCAGACAGCCGTCATGGACCAGAAACCGGGGGAAACGGCGGAGGCATATCAGGACCGCATGCTGGCTTTGATCATAGAAGCCAAGCAGCGGGCGGATGCAGTAGCAGACGCAGAGAAGAAGAAGGCGGAGGATGCCGAGCAGGCACGACTGCTAGCTCTTGAACAACAGCGTCTGCAGGCCGAGGCAGCAGCGAAGGCTGCAGATGAAGAACGATTGAAGCGGCGTGAGAAGATTTTCAGCGGGGAGCAAGCATTACTCACATTGGCAGCGGAATGGTGAATTGAGGCGGAGACAGGGAAGATGGAGGAGAGCGAGACCAAGATTGCCCTCCTCCTCTCCCATCTCACGGACCTCCTGGCGACATGCATCGCGCAGCAGGAGGACATTCACAGCCTCGATGTCGAAGTTAAGAGTGTTCGCAGCCGCGTACAGCAGTTGGAGCAATGACCAGTCGCCGCCCCTGTGGTAAGCTCCTCCAACACATCAAACCGCCTGGACGCATTGGAGACTGACGTCAGCACACTCAAGGACGGCGCACGACTACAACAAACCGCTACTCAACAATTGGAGCAGCGGGTCTGTGCTGCCACCGCCAGCCCGAGTTCGGGACAGCGCGAGTCAACTCCCAAGTTTGACGGTCAGGAGATCTTCTGCGATTCAACAAAGACGGATCCAGTTCAGTGGTTCTGCAAGTTTGAACTCACGTTGCAGCTGCACCTCGTCAGCGAGTGCAAGCACCACGCGTACTTATACTCCCAGTCGGGAGGAGCATGCCAGGCATGGCTGGACAATCTCTTGTCCCAGTACGGGGTGGTCGCTGTCGAGTTACACACGAAGATCAACTGGGAAGACCTCAAGGCGGCCTGGCACAAGTGGTTCCAAGTGGAGCCGCCGGAGATCAAGGCCATGGACAAGCTCATGACCTTCGAGCAAGGCTCGCTGCCAAGCGTCGACTGGATTGCCGAGTACCAACGCTTGACATCCGTCCCTGGTCTCCCGATGGGCTTCAAAGCCATCAAGCACTACTTCATTTCGAGGTCGTGCCCGACGTTGAGCAACGCCTTGACGCATGTCGAGGACACACTGACAACGACGGCGCAACTGTTCGACAAGGCCGCACAGATTATCATCACGAACAAGGAGGCGAAGAGCCTCACTCGTGCTGCGGCAGGCCCGAGCAAGGACCAACATCGGCCCAAGGTGGCCGTGGTTGCGGCGGCATCGCCAAGCAGCCAATCTAGCAAGGCGGAGTCTGCCAATGAAGGAGACAGACTCGCAGCTGCCCGGGATGGTGGCCGCCTCGGCCGAGGCCGAGGACGCGGCAAATCGAAGACAAACACCACATTAAACCCCGGGCCCGGCGCAGCAGCTCAGGGGCCCTGGACCCCCTACGGTCTTTCGGAGCAAGCTTACAAGCAATGCACGAAGTACCGTTACTGCCTGTGGTGCAACAACGACTGCCACGAGACAGCGGGCTGCCCTACCAAGGGGAAGGGCAAGCAGGGAAACTGAGCGCCGCCGAGAGTCAGTCGACGACACTCTCGACGCCTTCGGAACCAGTTTCTTCACGAGTGACCGGCCATTCCGGGGCGCATGCGGAAGTCGACAGTCCTCTTCTCTATTCTTTTGAGGACTATGCTGCCCGGCTCGTTCCGGTGCTGGGATCTTTTGCTCAAGGACAAGACGTGTGTGCGGCATCTTCTCCGTCCGACAACAGTTCTTCTTCGTCTTCAAGTGGTTCTTCACGGGATTCGGCGCGCGGGTTCAACATAGAGGAATTGGACCCGCTCAAGTCTGGGGATTTCGCATGGCTTCCTCTCCCGACCACGGGCCGCTTACCGGGACCGCAATGCGCAGCACTTTGTGCCCATCTTCACAAGTACTTGTCCTTCTATGCACCACCAACTTCGCCGACGGATGACGAGGTCGCGGTGGGGGACATCTTGGCATATGTTACCAAGGTGGCCCGCGAGTTTCGCACGCAGCGGTACGACGACAATAATGCACCGTTGATGTATGTCCGCATCCAAGTTGGGCAGGCGTCCTGCAGCGCTTTGCTGGATAGCGGCGCGACTCGCAACTTCATGAGCCAAGCTTTTATGCAAAGGGCTGGCCTCGGCGCGCAGGTTCGGAGGAAGGCAAACCCGACGGCTATCAAGTTGGCGGATGGAAAGACGCAGCAACTTCTCGACCGTTACATCGAGGCCGTACCGGTGCACTTCGCACCTCATGCATGCGAACCGGTCACGTTCGACATCTTGGACACGGACTTCGATATCATTCTGGGAATGCCTTGGCTTGCAAGTGTGGATCACACGGTCAACTTTCACCAGCGGACTCTCACCGTTCGCGACGCCTTCGGCGCTGAGGTGCCGTGTACTATTCCTCTTCCGCACCCTTCGATCCGGTGCCAAGTTGTGACGGCCAAATCGTTCCGAACTACATGTGCATATGAGCAACCCGAAGAGATAGGCCTATGTTTCTTGCGGACTAGCGCGGTAGCCGACTCTTC